GTACACTGAGGACAGCTTCACTATTTGCTTATAATTTGTGATAGTTCATTTGGTACCACTCAGCAAGAGCCTTGGAAAAAAATGCTTCAAGTCTTCAGTCTACAAGTCAAGTTCATAACTAAGCCCAGAGTCCTACGAGTTGTTAAAAAAAAAAAACCAACAAGACGGAATAGTCATTGTTTCTGATACCTACGCCTCTAGAAAAGATGGTGCTTCAGCACCATTGTGAAGAATTTTATGAATGATCTCACCATTACTTCACCTAGATGGAGGTGATAAGATTGTGAGTGCAGTGGATCATCACATCAATCAGAGCAGACTGGATATCATTTTAAGATTGATTTCAACTGGGATATTAATTATCCCAGCTCAAACAAGTTGATGGAAATAAAATGTGCTCATTTTGAAATACATAAAATATCCCTGATCATGTGAATGGCTCAAAAATCTCTATTTACCCCTCAGATTCACAAACAAGTCCAGCAATGAAAAACACATTAGGTTTAATATTATCTCTTCATTTTGTTAGAAGTGATTATCTGTGACTATAAAAGCTAAGTAGTAAGAAGAAAAAAATATTTTTAGCTTTGGTCCATAACAAAAGGGTAAAATATCTGAATTTAAAAGCATGCCTTTCAACTCGTGAGCCAATCTCACGACTGGTATGAGGTATGGGGTAGTTATGAACACAGACAAAACTGACTTTCCTTTCATACCCAACAATCCTAAACAAAGCAAAACTGTTGCAAGTATTCTGCTGGGCATATCAAATAGGACTTCCAGTTCAAACAATCTAAGGTGACATGTATTTCAAAAAATGACACATCCTTAACATGCCCAGAAAACAACAAAACAGAACTAAAATTACCCTGACCAGCAGTCTACTCTGCTGAATCATTTTCCCTTGCCAGACAGAACTACTGAAAATTTTACTTCACTTTTGTGCACGAATTTTTATATCTGAATGCACCTACAAACATACAAGGGATTCCCCATAACAGATAATGGTAATAGCTGTGTCAGAGGTCAGCTTCTACCTATTAGAAGTGAATGAAAGAACTGTGAAAAAGCAATCGGGTGATGCCAGCTGGAGATTTGAACACAGAAGACATCACAGTGCACGCGACTAGATTTTACAGTCTCAATTTAAACATGTACAGAAGTAGTAAAAATGACTGTGCAATCTCTTGTGCATTTTAATCACAAACAGAAGTACAAGTAATAAAAAAGTTGGAAAGGCTAGTTAATGTTAATTGACTAATATTGATTGCAATTAATTACTTAATATAAATTAATATAAAGGTTAGTTAATATAAATTAATGAAAGCTGATTGGCATATATTTAGAATATCAAACGCTCCCTGATTTCACAATGAATTTAAGACTATGCTTAATTTAGAGCATTTGAATAGACCTGTAATTAATTGAATGGCAGCCAATCATGAATCCTCTGTAATTACTGCTTGAAACACTGCTCGATTTCTATTGAAAAGAAGTATTTTTTATCTGAATCAATGCATGAAGGCTATTAAAGTTGTTACCTTCGACTTTTTTTCTTTTAAAATGCTTCTGTAAAATATATACAGACAGGCTTTTCCATAGCATTCATCAGCGCTACATCGATGACGTTCCAAAACAATTAATGAGCATATATTGGTTCAATATATTGATAATTTGTTTGGAGCAGACAACTAAAACTGCATCAGGGAAGCAGTTATCTTCATCATATGTCTGCTGATTGGACAACAAAGTTGTGGGTGACGCAATGGCAGAAGGCAACCTTAGTAAGTGATAAGGAAGAGACTGAAGGGGAAAGAAAAGCCTTATTCTAATGAAAATGAATGTGCTCTTTTCCCAGAACAACCTTCCAATGAGACTATATCCTATTTGTTGGATAACCCCCTACAACCTTATAAAGAAATGTGTCTGTAGCTTCCCCAGCAACAACACTTCAGGGCTTCAGTTGCGTATGTACCTTAAGGACCATTTAGCATGTAGGAAATAAAACAAAAAACAACCAGCAACAGATCAACGCACATTTTTTTAAATGATCCAAGTTAAACACTTGTAAGAATCTGTACCTATTTGAACGAAGACTCCTGGGAGATTGTCTGAGGAAAAGCGTATGCCTCGTGTGTGTTATAAAAGGCACAAAAATGAGTCAGACTTAGGGCTTGCTGTTATACTAGTATTTGAAAATACCTAGCAGATGGTTTACTAGAACTTTCTGCAACAAATAAAAGGCAGGAATCACTCTCACAAAACAAAATAGCACTCCGAAGATTCATAGATCATAAGTGCTGATACATTGTTTCTCCTCTTCCAAATCAGTGGCATTGATCATCTGTGCTACCATCCCTTGAGACTTGTGCTGGACCACAGTTAAGTAAAAGCAGAGAAAGAGGAAGCAAGAGACTGCAGTAACTTCTTCAGAAATGTTAACATTTAATAACAGAATGTTAGGACAAAACTAATAACCAGTCCAAAACATCCACTGTCTGCTTAGTTCCATTTCCCTCTTTTCAAATGCTGATCGAAACCTTCCTTCTGAGTTACATTTCCTCATTTTTATTCAGCAGCACAATGCCACTGTACCTCACTCTCAGTTGCTGAATATAGCAGTCCCAGCTCATAAACCTAATCAAACACATATTCCAACTCTTCTCTCCTAATATAAACCAATCTTTATGACTCAACTCCTGCTTGTGCTTTGTAACCACCAGACTTTCTCCCCTCCAATACATACAGATACAGAATCTCTCCACAATGTCAATGGGAGTTTGCTCATCAACTTTCATGGGATCAGGAGTTGACCCATAATGTTTTATAAAACAACAAAAAGGAATGTATTTATGGTTTTATTATTATCCCTACTAAGGAAATAATGAGAAAGGAAGGATTGTACGTGGTCTAGTCTATATGCACATGTGTTACTTGTATTAATATCAATGGGATTTAAAAGTACATATGGAGAGGATAAGATATATCCCTATGTGTTCAGCCATATGCTTAAGGAAGCTCCCTGAATGCTTGTAAATACGATTATGCTTGCTAACATACTATGTATTTATTTGAACAATGTTAAATCTCTAAGCCCTACTTTCCAGCCCATTAAAGCCTCAAATAATTGTTTATTTCCAGTTTAAAGTTACTCTCTTTTAGCCATTAGAAGGCCGTCTGTAATCACATTTCCATGATATTTGGGGAATTAGAGAATTGATAATAACTCTCCCATTATCCAAAGGGGTATCTCTGGGAAGAGAAATGCTCAAGATGAACTATATTTTAGTGAGGAATTCTTCCAAAAGATTTTGGGACAGGCCCAAAACATGTTAACTGAAAGGTCTGGAATGATACTTACACAACAAACATGTGTTCACATTGTAGACCTCAGACAACTACGTTCCTTCTGGAGGCCAAAGCCATGTTCCTGGATAGACTTGCTCTCATTTTCTTTTTGTTTTTAAAGTTTTGGAAACAGGACAAGGGCCTGACCCATTATGCACAAGAGACTTATTCCAAATTTCCCATATAAAAGACGACATCAGAATTCATCCCACAGTTTATGACTTGGTGCAAACTGCCTTTAAATGAGACAGCTGAATTATTTATGGAATATCTTATGCATTTAGTAAATCATATTGATATAATTGCAACTAATCATTTTATTTGGCTCATCTGTTTCTTCCTTTCAGCTGAGCCTTGGTAAATGTTTTTGTGAACACTTTGTTATAGCTTTATCAATAGAAAGATGATTGGGATAGTTTACTAGATTACTACGTGAACTAACGTTGAAATCACAAATATAAAGCAATTTGCATGGAGGCAGAGGATATTTGTCATTCTTTTGGTACACGTGGCATGATAAGTACCATCTTACATGCAGCACAGAATCAAAAGGTAACTTTACAGCCAGCTGCCAAAAATCACCTTTTTGCTTACTTAGCACAACTCATTTCATGTTTACTTTTTTTTATATCACCCAGAGCAAAAGTGTATATTGTGGCATCATCATTTCATTTCCTTGTGTGTTTTTTTTTTTGTTTTTTTTTGTTTTTTTTAACCACAAACAAGATTTGGGAGCTCAACATTTACTTTATCTTTTAAATCCCAAATTGCAATAAAAGCCCAGATCAGGTTTTCTTTTTGTCCTACTGAAATACTTCATACTTTGTAAAACAGAAAAACAAAACTGTTGTCATTTTTTTAAACTACATCAATGAATGGTGAAGCCAGATCCGGTTTCCCAGCAAGGCATTATTAAAAGACAGAAATAGACCAATGACCGCAGGAAATCTTTAAGTACCAAAATGGGGACAAAAGCCTCCTGGGGAAAAGACAATATTTCCTACATGGTCATTCATGTCTCCCTGTCATACAATACAGGGGTATTGTTTGTTTGTCTGCTTAAGTAGATGCGCAGAATAAAATTAGAAACAACTCCTGACTATGAAAACACTTAAAATGCTAAACGCAGGCATACATGGCAGAACTGAGGTCACAACTATGCTGCGATGCTTCTTTTTTAGGTATAACCAGATCATTTTGATCATCAATATCACTTTTGATCATTAGTATCAACATCATTCTTTCCACATTAATATATAATAAAGACCACCAACCCCCTCCACCAATGCAGTCCAATCTGTGACTCCAGGTCAGTTTGATTATTGCTGTAGTCTTAATATTGGTCATACAAATTGTGAAAACAGTAGAAGAAATACTCCAAAATAGAACCAGTTTATTGTTGGTCCCTTCCCCCAAGGAATTCAGTGAAGGAATGTAAACCCAAAGATTTATTTTTCTGTTCAGGTCATGCCTGGGGTAGACTTATGTTACTAAACTCCCTAGTCTGAAATCAAGAGCAACACAAAGTTAACAAGTCTCTATAGGCAAAAAAATCCTGTAGCCCTCTGTGGATCACAAAGTGAAGTTACAGCAGTAAGAGTTATCCTCACCACAAAGATGATTCAGAACAAGGCATCTGGCTCACAGCTTACCTCAACGTAGTCCCTGGCATGGCCCCAGTCTCTCTTAGCATCCAGATTGCCCAGGCTGAAAGAATCCATCTGTCCGAGGTGAATCTTTGCCACTGATCGGCTAATTTTTCGAGTAACAAAATTAGCTCCTGGAACAGAAATAAAAGGGAGCATCAGCATAGTCACTGATAGTGACATAGTGGCAGATAATTTGCTACAAGAAACACTTAGCAGCTCGACTGATTTCACTCTCCTTCATTCTTCATTCATTCCTCTCATACCACCTAGTCCTATGCCATCATTTATTGTTTGAGCAGGCTACCAAGCTTCCAGTGCAAGTGTCACATTAGCTTCACTTTCACAGCAAACATCTTTCTTTGTGGGACTTCTAAGCATTCCTAATTTGCTGCCTCAGTGTTCAGTCCAGGCATAAAGCCAAAGAAAATCATCTGGAATGTCAGTACTTAAACACAAAATGCAAAAGGTTACATAAAGAAGACAGACATCTTAGGCCACCCTTGGGTTTTTTTGTTGCCGTTTAATTTCTTCCATTTTATTTTTTAAAGGAATGCATCATCTAAACATGTTTGTTTATTAATTTTTTTAAGAAGCATATTAAAAGACTGTGATGGTTAAGCATACTCTATATTTCTTATTATTTGGGATTCTCTCTTCCTCATTTTCAATGACATTGTAAAATTGTGATTTCACCTTTTTCAACTGAAGGCTGTACATTATATTTTATCAGACTTCAGTATTTTGTTCACTATATTTCACTGGAAAAATGTGTGCCCGTTTATGCTCACGACTGAGTTGTTTTAAAAAACACTTGCTTTTAATTAAATTTGTATCCTCATTTTTAGATTATGACCTCTGTTGTTCTAGAATGCGGTCAGCAGTTTCCTCAGAAACACAGGACCTTAAATTTAGATGATGAATATAGGCTAAACAAGCCCAATGGCATCTGAATACTAATGGGCCACAAAAATTAAAATTACATGCCTTTTTAATAGCTAAAAGAATATGATTGAGTGATGACAGATGATACCACATCCAACTGGAAAGCAGGAAAGTTAGTGAAACTTGTAAAATGCTCGTAGCAAATTTTAAAAGCACAAAGTAGTGCAGCTTGTACATTTAAGGCATGTATGGTAGTTTTTTCATTATAGAACACTTGAAATATGCATCTGAATGTTTTCTATTTATTGTCAAACAAATGTTAGGCTACTGCAAAATTACTACATAATGAGAATTGTGTGTTTCAGACCTCAGCAGGAAAAACAGAATTATGCCAAAGATAAACCAATGCAAACCACAGGACCAGCACTACAATTCTGCTATTTCAATTGCTGAAAGCAAAGTGTGTTTCCCCAGTTCCTGGTTGGACAGGCTTGCAGCGGGAGTGGAATTCTGGGTGAGAGAATCTGTCTGGTTAGCCTGACTGGCACTTCTCCAATGATTTTATTTTTTATTTTCTTAAGTCATCAGAGTAATCTTCATACAGATTATTACTAATTTATATGACACAGATTCAACCTATCACATAAACATAGTCAGGAGAGTTCTGAAATTTCTTAACCTTCTGCAATGACATAATTTCAGTTTTTATTATTTTCTGTGAATAACAATTGGGAGAGAGACTTTTTCAATGGGCGAAGTACACAGTCTTATGTTCAAGGCTGCAACCGATTAACAAGCAAACCCAGGAGCTTTCAACACTACATTCCCATATGCAGTAAAAGCAGTGAGAGTTCTAATCATCATCTGCATTAGAGAGAGTTTTACTGTCAACCTCCACAAATAATGAACACCAGTTTCCATTTATTAAACTTTCTTAGTACAAAAAAGAAGCATAATAGGTAATTAGTGTGTGTAAGGATGATACAATCAACTTAACTTGAAATGTATGTAAGTATGAAAGATATTGCAAAGGGAAAAAGATTAATCTGGCACAAAGCAGTCACCGATAACTGGAGAGAAACTGTCTTCAAAGATCTTAAAGAAAAATCAGAATACACCTCCAAATGCACAGATTAAAGAGCATCAGAGCGATGAATGAAAACGTTTATTTACCACAAATTGTTTAGTAAAGGTTCTTGGAAATGCTTCAGTACTGAAGTTGTAGAAGAAAATCATGCTACTGTTCATTTTGAAAAATGTGATCAGAACTTTTCTTATGTAACCAAGGACTGAATGGCACATTCCATGAGCATTTAAATGATATGGTTCATAAATAAAGTTTAAATACTGATTCTCTTCAAACACAGTATCTTAAAATATCCTATTACATTTCATGTTTGATCCCATGCCATTAAATGCATGTCATAACTAGAAATTAAGCTGATGTCCACTGGAGTCATACAAAACAGTTAAGGCTATGTCAGCATTTTCATCATAAAGCCCTCTCCTAGGGGTTTGCAATCAGGCTATAAAGTCTTGCTTTGGCAAGATGAGAATGGTTTGGGAATGATTCTATTGAAAGATCTACGTGGATTTCTACAGTTATCTTTATATAACTGAAGACAAACCTTTGTATTAACATCTTTCTTCCTCAGGAGTTATTGAAGATTTAATTTTAATGTTGAGACTACACAAACGTTTTCCTCCACAGAATGGAAAGTTAGTACAAGTAAAAGTATCAGCAGAGCTGCTGCTATGTCATACACTTCGTTCTTAAGGTCGACTTTCATCAGGTCTAGATGGTACATCAGCTACAAGGCCATTAGCTATTGCAGCTGTGTAAGGCCTATATTCTAAATGCTACCACCATCACCATATTGCATGAAAACTAGCTTCGGCTGGTAGGGAAGAGAGGTCAGAGTCCCACATGTGTCTCCTGGCCTTGTACCCCTTCTTCAGTTCCGAGAGGCTTTGGAAAACACACCTCCCTGCTCACACCTAGTGGAATGAATGTGGAGTGATGAATCTCTATTAAATGCATAATGCATTTTGACTTGCTCACTTACTCATAATATGTGAGGGTGGTGCTGTTCTAGGAGCTCATTATCCTACACTGTCCTAGAGAACCAAGAGTCATTCTTACTCCCTCAGAAGGGCTAAGCATGCTGCACTGACTGCCTTGCGTAGCTATCCTAGTTATCTAGGCAGAAAACACTTCCAAACCACTCTGGGCTAAATTATGTGCCTTCATGTTACTACCAACAGTGCTGAAAGTACTGTAGTGCCACACCAGAGGTCTGGCCAGACATGGCAAGAGTTTCTTTGGCATGTCCTCACATTTCAGCAGTTTCTTGGTTGAGGACAGCCTTTCAAGAGTTACATTTTAAAAAAAGTCCTTAAACCTGAGTTTTCATGATATTAACAGCTCTTTCAGCCCTGGGCATTAGTTCAGATTTGTTTTGAAAACCCAAGCCCTCCCTCTGAGATCATCAGCATTCCAACAGGAACCATAAGGTCTGATTTATAACTCTGTTTACCTTAGTCACCATTCTAAACAAGGAATCCTCATTAGCAGACCTGATCTGTAAAACACATACCCAGACAGTAAACGATTACAGGAACAATATTGCAATAAGAAGTTCAAACCAATAGCTTGAGCTCTGCAGTCCAGGCCTGTTGCCTGCTTGGCCACCTGGTTCAGGGCAGCTCATCCCTCTGAGAAGGATGCTGCATATACCTGGCAAAGACATGGTTCCAAAAACTGGAAAAACACGTAAAACCAATGCTTTAGGTTGTACACTCTCAATATACCTACAGTTTCAAAGTTGGATACCCTGAGTGAAAAAAACAGTGCACCTCATTCTTTTCATTAGCCCTTCCTGCATTATCAGAAAATTGGTGTTTTTATCAAGATTCATGAGTTTATAACAAATAACCAAACAGATGAAGCAGTGTGACGAGCTTCTGTTATAGAAACTGTTTTTGTTTGTTTTTCCAACAACCATTATTTTCTAGTCTCTCAAAGCTACAGATGAAAGTCAACACATGGCGAATAATGGACTTAGAAAGATTGCTGTCCCTGTATAAAACTAGTTATATCTGACATAAGAAATATCCATCTTAATTCATATCATAGGTAACAGACAATCTAATATTGTTCAATAGCAACTTTAATCAGCTGAGATGCAGTACTATTCTATTTGAGTTTCCATGACAACTTTTTCTGTTTTGCATGAAATATGACAAGAAGTTTTCTGTCTTTAAAAATGCTGGCACAAGAAAAGGGGGATTTTTCACCCCCCTCTTAGATTCTACAGTTCTGTCATAAATTCTAGTGGAAGTCCAACATGTTCAAACATTGTGTACCCAGTGCTTCTACTAACCCAGGGGAGCATATATCTTTTAGCATATATGTTGTAAATGATACATTTAATGAGATCATTAAAATAATTTGATTGCCTGAAAATCCATGCTGCTCATAATTTCTGTTCTATTAGAAGTTTTGCCATTTTTTCTGGGGCAAGCTAAGATGAAATGACAAAGTAGCACCCAGTTTTTCTGGGAAAGAAATCCAGAGTCTCTGTTAGCTTATACTGATGAAAATCAGCACAAAAACTCCAAAGTCAGTGGAGTTATGTTAATGTAAGCCAGACAAAAAATCAAGTTACAGATCTTTGAAGCTTCCAGTTTGAGAGATTTAAATGGAATTTTCAACTGTATCTTAATTGAAACAACTGATAAAGCAGCTGCTTAGTACATGTTAGACACAAACAAAAGCAGCTGAATTGTGAATCAGCTCTCATTTTACAATAGCAAGTTGTTCTTCTCATAATAAAAAACACACAAATTAGAAACATCCCTGTTTTTAAACAAAGGAAACATCAATTCTAATGCTGATTTTTTCCTTTCCAGATCCTCATACTATCCTACTAATTTCACACTTGAATACAGCTACGTTGGGATGAGCTTGCCAGAAAGTCCACAATCAGATTTCTGCAAAACGAAATATACGTGAAATGAGGGCAAAATGATTCACAAGCAACTCATTGTAAAGTCATGCACTGCATGGGAAACATCTTCCTGACCTGAGTAATAAATCATTTTATTTCCTGAAACATGAGATACAGTGCTTTAATCCTTACATTTTAATCCTGTATAGCATAGCTGGAAATATACTTCATCATAATGTCTGTAATCTCCTTCTCCATCCCTTAAAACTGTAGTAATATCTTAAGATAGTAGGTTTCTT